ATTCAGGAACTCTCTGGAATCTAAGAATCATGTTAGCCTTTTCCATCTGCAGTTGTAACAAATGGTTTTCTTGAAGGGTTTGTTTTGTTTCAACTTCCCCCATCCTTTTCTTCATTTTCTTATTTGCGGTATCCATCTCTGTGATTCTCTCATTCGCATGCTCCACTTTCTTCTCTGTTTCTGCCAGCTGGCGCTGCTGAAATGCAAAGTTTTGGTTCAGCGAAGTCAGTTGCTGGTTAATACCATTGAGTTGTTCCATCACCGGCTTGAGCATATCCACTAACATTTTCATGACATCTGCTCCCTCTTCCGGTTTTGGGCGCTGACTGCCTGGTTTCGTTTTAAACTTTCTTTGTGGGGCCGCCATCTTTTTTGTTTGTTTAGAATTTCAAACCGCTTCCCCAGGGCTCCGAAAATGGTTGCCTCACTATCAGCGCTCAGATAAGTCTCTCAGAACAAAATCGCTGTTCGCTTCCCCCCTTGCCCCTTCGATGCGTTTATCTGTCCATGTGATTAAGAGGTGTCCCTCTTTGCGCTCCGCTTTTCCCACGGGGAGGGGGAGCTCAGTTTTTCTAAAATACTCTGTTTACATAGAACTCACGTTCATTGTTGGTCACTTCTCTGACCTCGCTCCCTGCATTCAATATTCCGCTCGATCTCCAGCGCTTGTCCCGGTTGAATTAGCTTGCGCCCAAAGGCCATACAGCGGCAGGACCGCTAGGGCAGAGGGAAGCCTCAATTCTCTGGCATCAAGCCATCAAAGAGGCTACCCCTCAAAAGCCCTCTGGCCTGGAGCCTATCGCAAAGGCTCCGTGGGGATGCCACTTGAGGTGGCACCCCTCCATACTGCTGGTGTGCTAATCGCCTCCCCGAGGTCTGGGGAGAGCGACCACCATCACCAATCCACAGACTGGAAGTCCCAGCAGCAATATTTCATTGTGAGGCAAGTGCCTATGTGAGTCCTCTTTGCCTGGCTTTCCCTTCTTAGACTAGTACCTCGGAGGTACTAGTTTTTTGCCGCGTGGTTTCGGCAGGAAGCCTCGTTTGAGCCACGGGAGTGCTACACTTCCCAGATGTGCTGGTGAGATCGCGCCCGGAAAACCCGCATGTCTTCCGTCTGACTCGCATGGCTAATGTTCCGTGTGACCGCAGCCTTAGTAACATAAAATGGCTACCTCCTGCTGATTGTGAAGGGGCAGGGCTAAATATTCTGACTGCAAGAGGCATGTGTAAAAAATATAACCACAACTCTCTGGTCATTCTATTTTATAGGTTTGATTTTGACTCCGGGGAAGAGGGGACTGAGGTTTTAAACATACAGTACTCTAGTTCATTAGGGCTTTGATAGCCATCAGATTTCTCCATCAGAGCAGAATTATTCAACTGGTTGTTTTCCCCCCTTATCCTCTCTCCTCTGTGGGAGAAGAAGAAAGATTGACTGACCTGGTCTGTGGATTTTTACAGATCCATTAACCAGCCAGTGGGAACTGTAATAACAGCTATTCCTGCCCAATGAACTAGTGTCGTGATTTAGATGGGCCTGGTTGGGGGGAACATTTGTTGGGAGGGACTTATTTGCTTGCAGTGGTCATCTAACAAAGGGGAGATGTAGACTGACTGGTTGATTACACAGCTGACAGTGTGTCATCTCCTGGATTCTTTGGGGAGGACAGTAAGGAGATGGGCAGGAGGGAATTTGGGGGGGGGGGACATTGCCCCACTTACTCTCATTTACCAGCCTCCACTCTGTGCATTATACTTCTCATATTGGGGGTAGAAAAGGAACTCCGTAGTCCTGGGCTATAGTAATTGTGATGTAGTGCTAGGATACTCTGGTTCAGAGCTACAGGAAACTACTCATTTAGACCTGGAGATCACACACTGTAGTGGGAAAGCAAATCTCTCAACTGTTTATCTCCTCCTCTAGCAATTCCTTGAAAGCCCTCAAAATGTAGGCAGTTTGTTTGAGGTGTGACCGTCCAAGTTGCTCTGTAAACTGAAACGTTTTCCTGCCTGGTCACCTAGAAGAGATTTTCTCACCACAGGAATCTCAGTGAAGTTCTGTTAGAGTGAGTAGTGTGTTAGATTTCTGACCAGACTTGTGTTTCAGTCTCTGCTTAGGCTTCAATTTCACTGGGTGGCCTTGGGCCGGTCACTGCCTCAGCCTAACTTACCTCACAGAAGTGTTGTAAGGATAAAATAGGAAAATCCCAATCACTGCCTCAGCCTAACCTACCTTACAGAAGTGTTGAGCTCCTTTTGAGGAAGGGCAGGGTGCAAAAGTTGCTGTTGGTTGTGGTGGTGGTAGTAGTGTTTTAGAAACCTTAAGAAAACGACTACCTCAGAGGAAAATATATATTTTTTAATCTCCCAAAGTTTGAGGCATTGATCCAAAACTTCTCTAATGTCCATAGATTACCTCAGAGGGAATTTTTAAAAAAAATCTCCCAAAGTTTGAGGCGTTGATCCAAAACTTCTCTAATGTCCATAGAATTAGATGCAATATTGGCTAAATATTTTTTAAAAGATGCTGTTTCATTTTATTTTCCTTTTCCATTCTGTGCAGCACAGTAGAATAAAATGCTTGCTTATCATGTTGACCTTAACATTATGTTTCTTCTCCTGGTACTTAGAACAACAAAGCCATAACGTTATTCTTGTTTTCTGTTAACCAGCCTCCCCCCCCCCCCAATGAATAAAAACCAAACCAAACCAGAGGTGATTATTCTTCAGGTTTTGTGGCCTCAGTCTCGGTTGCTTGGATTACAAAGTGTGATTTTTTTAAAGTTGGTGCAGAAGGAAATATCATTGTGGGATGGATGTAATATATAGTTCAGTGTGCAAGCAGGCTGGCCTCTGTTTGATCCTGTGAGAATGTGGGGTTAATGTCTGGCCGGTGTTTTGGAAGCAGCAGGTTGCCAGGAGTAAACTCCTCTAGGGGTCCAGATTTCTGTAGCCTCATAGTTATTCACACACATGGGGGATACCTTGTGAACTTTCACTGAGGTCATGGTAAACTGCAAATCATACTTTGAAATTTTTTAAGCCTTGGGGTACTAGAAGTCTGTAGCACTACAGTTATTAATATGCTTAAAAAGTTATGTTGGCTTTTTTATTTTAGAGATAGTTCAAGATAGTCTTGTAAGTCCTTGCAGCAGTGAGAAAAATACATGGCTTAGAGTGCTAATTTACATACCCAAAGTGTTTTCCTGATACTGCTCTCTGAATACCATGTGCTCCTTCTTCTCTTTGAACTGTACAAAGGCTGACAGGATTGCAGGAGTCTCTGACTGCAGAAGTTTTGCACATAGTTTGAACTGAATTAAAAGACTACTTGATTTTGGCTCTTGAGGGCAGTTCAGTAAACATAAACAGATCAGTGTCAAAATCAGCTGTCACCTCATTAGGGACTGCATAGCACAGGAGTCCCCAACCTTTTTGAGCCTGTAGGCACCTTTGGAATTCTGACAGTGTGGTGGGTGCAGCCACAAAATGGCTGCCACAGGAGGTACAGCCAGTCATAAAATGAGCGCCACAGCTAACTTTAAGTCACATGTGAAGATCCTTGGGCTGTGGTGACAGCTGCAGCCAAAGCAACATTTTTTTTAAAAAAAGCCTGCACAGCCAAGCAGATCTTCATTGACCAATCAGAAGCCTTGTTGGGCAAAAGCCCCATGTGCCCCCCCTTTTCTAAAAACACTTGATGGGACTAGGAGAGGTCTCAGCGGGCATCATGATGTCCAAAGGCACTATATTGGGAACCCCTGGCATAGCAATTTGGGAGAGCAAATTGTCTCATCAGGTTTTTCATTTTGTAGTATTGCAAGCTGGAGGCCCTTGAGAAACTGCAGGTGTGTGTGTGTGTGTGGGGGGGATGAACTATTTGGAACCTTCCACCACATGCCTCCATCCTTCTATCACCCCTTTTTCCTTTAAGTGATATGCTACTGTTCTCAACATTTGGCCCCTTCTGGGCTTTTTTTAAAGTCCGTATCAAGCCATTTGGGACGATGGTGGTAGTAGTTTATTTTCATTTGTTTAATTTATAAAGCCATATTTCTCAGCATCCCTGGTGAGTCTGCCAGAGATCCTTGTCTATGGCTTTAATTATGCCCGCAAGGCCAGAAAGTTTACTCTTATTTGTACTCAGATGTGTGTGTATGCAAGTAAATTTGCACTAATTATGCTACAGTTTTTTTGTTTTTGTATGTGGCTTTTCTTGTTCTCAAGACAACACTTTTAAATATTGTTTCCTTATCCTTAAATGTGTCTCTGAGTTTCTTTGTTTCACTAAATGTGGATTATGTTTGGTTAATTCTCTCCCCCCCCCCCTACATCAGTGATCCCCAACGTGGTAGGTACTGGGGCTCCCACCAATGTATTTTCTGGCACTCATTTGCTTCTTCCCAGAGCATCTGGTCTCCCAGACAAAGAGATGATCTAAGAAGTTATCTTTAATCAGTAGTACTTAGACTGGCTCTTTACGTTAAGAGGGGCTTGGTACTGGCTAAACAAAATAGCTGAAATATTTCCACTATAGTGGAAAATGTAGTCTTTGAATTGTTTCAACATACATACAGAAAGGTTGTCTGTGTTTAGTTCTGAAGTGAAAGAATAGAAAAAGAGAGCGTCAGTTTTGACTTTTAAAATGTTCCTCTTCTCTGTTCCATGGCATTTTCCAGTGATATTGTCTCTGTTACAATAAAACATTGTCTAGTTAGTGTTGTGAAGCTTGACTATGTATGCCTCACTTGAGGTTTCTCTTGTTTGATTATGTTGAACTGGTTTTCAGAATGAATGATTGTGTAGTGCTATAAAATATCATTTATTCAGATGTTTCACATCTGGATCTTTCTGTACTTGAGTGCTTCTAGCTCTCCCCCACCCCCAGCACCAATCCCTCTAAAGGTATCTGCCTAACATATCCATTCTGTTCTGGGTTTCCTTGTCTCTTCCAGGACTCAATAGTGTAACATGACTTAAACATTCTTTACTTTTAGGTGTGACCCATAATATTGCCTTACTACGGGAAGTGATAATCCATCCACGCTTTATCCAGGGAGATATCACTACTAAGTTTCTGCCAGACGTGTATCCTGATGGCTTTAAAGGTTAGTCCTCAATGGAAATGTTATTTCTGATTCGAAATGTGTATAAGATTTTAATTTCTCTGTGCTACTGAAATAGTTTTCAAATTATTTCTCAAACTTTTAATCTCAGCCCACAATATTTTATCTTTAAAAATGTATTATAAAATTGAAATAATGATTATTCCCAGTTTTAAGAACAGCTAGAATGCAAGTTGGTTCTTAATTGTCAGACTGAACAGTCAAACTCTGGAGAGAAACTGGTGTTTTGGTAGCAGGAATCAAGACAATGTGTGTCTGGCAGTTTTAATTCTAAATGCTTAAATTGATGCATCTACTTATTAGGCTTCTGTAACTTCCTCCAAAGACTTGTCTAACTAACATGATGTAGTGGTTAGAGTGTCAGACTAGGATCTCTGTGTCCCGGGTTTGAATCCCCACTTCCGCACATGGAAGTTTGCTGGGTGACCTTGAGCCAGTCATACACTCTCCGCCTAACTTACCTCACAGGACTGTTGTTGTAAGGATAAAATGGATGAGTTTGGATGTTTCTCACCTGGCATAAAGTCCAGAGACACATTGCAGAAGTCTTTTCTCCCTTACAGCATGTCTGCAAAACTGAAAGTTGAGCTACTATTTAGTTGATAGAGAGGTACTGATAACCAAAAGAACGCTCCTTTTTATTTATAGTTTAATTAGAATAATTGTGCATGCTAGTGCATCCAAGGCATAAATTGTAGATTGCTTTGAATTTGTGATACGATTGTGTCAGATTTTGAAATGAAAGTGGCAATTCTTAGTGTTGCTTGACAACATTAATTAGCTAACTTCATAGGTTTTTCATGTTTTTATTAGCTTTACCTTTCCACAGTATAATGAATCAAACATTTTGCAATAGAATTATAAATTATGGTGATTTTTGAACTTCTTGAACATATTATCATTGTTTCTTCTCTTAATATTGTTCTGTTTCTTTCATATATGTACACTACGCTGATCTTTAACTCCTATGTAGTATGATCAGATCAGATAATAGTTTACAGCTGAAATTTAGTAAGGTGTTGAGTGACCCAAATCTATGCTTTGCTGACATGATTTTGGGAACTTGCTAGATTTTATAAAACAAATTTAGAAGTCATTATTTTTAAATAATTGTCGTTAATCAATTTAATCATACTTTTAAAACAGCAGATCAAACCAAAACACAAGAAAAAGTTCACTCAACTAAAGAAACAGCAATGATGATAATAATAAAGAAATAACAATTGACTCCTGAGTAATAATTTACAAAACAGTTTGATCCCAATAATAACCTTATAATTTTTTTATAGAGGAAAATGGAAAGAGATGCAATCAACTTAATAATAAGGGTATAATATAATTGTCAATATTTAATGGTTAGACTAATATTTGGACAAAAATTTAATAATATTTTAATGAAATGTTTATCATTTCAGAACATCTTTAGAAAAATTGTAAAGGGCTAAAAACTTTTGTTTCAAAAGGAGTGTAAATCTGTAGGCTTGTTTATATGATAAGTTCTGCCTGCAAATTTAAAATTATTTTCACCACCAAATCATATGGAAACACTATTGTGGCCAGCTTTCCCTCTAAGCTGAGTTAGTGTGAGCTACCTAACAGTTTTTTAGCCTTTGGCTCACACAGTTTTGTCTTAGCTCAGGAAGGATGACTCTAGAGCAAACTAATTTATGTAGTAGCCAAATCACTGGCTCACAACTTTAATGCCAGTAGCTCACAAAGCAGAATTTTTGCTCACAGGACTCCATAGCTTAGAGGGAGCATTGTGGCAACTATTTGATGAACATATAAACTTCAGCTATGATTTCCGTAATCATGGCTCTAATGTTCTTGCCATTCTTAATGTGGGAATTATTGTCTGCTTGACTGTGTTTCCAGTCTGCATGGTTTTTTCTTTGTGCAGTTGTACATACAGTGATGGATCATATGGAGAAAAGACTGCATGAACTGGCCCTGAGATCCTTAAATTTATATCAAGAATGTGATGGGAACAGGGAAGAGAATAGGAATAGCCAAGGCTCTGTACTGTACAAGTTCTATGCAAGTAAAATCCTATTTAAATAAGTGGAACTGTGCTGTCGATTTCTCAGAGACTATTTTCCTTGAAAAAAATAAAATCAACTTAAAGAACTCTAAGATCAGCCATTCCTTTCATGTTCCAAAACAGGATGTCTGAAAATGATAATTTTACTAATGGGCTTGATTAAGACAAAGTACCCATGTGTTAGAGAAGAATAAGATTTTTAAATTCAGGGATCAATAAAATAAACATTTTTAACAACTTCATTCTAAGAAATATCCTGACAGATTTCCTATTAACCTCAGCTGGCAACTTTTAATTAAATTTTTACTTGGAGTGGAGTACTTGACACATGTTCAGGCTAATTTTCTAGTGTATATGTTCCTCACGTGTCAGCTTTCATCAACACAAAGCAGCTTTTTAAAAAGGCATCCTCTTTTTTGTGCTTTGCATACTTTAGTGATGGGCTTTCTGAAGGCATCCATGTTCCTATATTACTGTACTTTCAGAACTGAGTAGTAAGATCCCAGTCTCCCAGTCTTCTAGAAATGGGTGAAGGTTTGAAGGTTTTGCCTTCACTGCTTTCCTTTCTAGAATGCCAAGCAAAATATCACTAATTGTATTGTTCTTGGCTTGACAGGAGAACAGATAAACTACTGTAGACTTTTCTTCTAGAACTGGTTGATCTCACCACTACTACAAAAATGGTGTATCTTTCAGGAGAAGTATGGCCAACTGGCAGCCTACAGGCAGTAGAGCTTAGAGTGTTGGAGTAGGACCTGGGATGGCGAGGCTTAAATCCCCTGCTCAGCCATGGAAGCCTGCCAGGTGACCTTGGACCCCCCACAATCTCTCGGCCTAACATCCCCTCACAAGGTTGTTGTGAGGATTAAGTGGAAGATGGAGGAATGGTCTGAAATGCCGCTTTGGGTCCCCAATTAGGGAGAAAAGTTGATATGTATATAAAAATATTGAGGTGACTTTTCTTACTCCCTGTGGCTTCGTCCAAGGCAGGGCAAAAGACTAGCAATTTGCCAGCACAATATAGGTTTCAAAGGCTTTTTTGCTTGAGCAGTACCACTTCCAGCATGAATTTGCATAGGGTCGTATGTTGTCTATCCCCAAAACAACACTGGAGAGGTTTGGATGCTACTTTTGACCTAGCTGGCACCCCTCTGCAGAAAAGGTAACAATGCACTCCAGAATTTTTCTGTGACAGTACGTGAGACTCTTTATGTGTCTCCCTTCACCAGTCCTCTGGATTGGGTCCTGAACAACTGCTTGGACATATGGTTTCCCACTGTGAACAAGTTGGCCACCCTTGCTTTAGGAAATGAAGAACTGAGACACATGCTGTTCGAGCGAATTCAAATGCCCACAAGAATTTGCTACCAGAATGAGTCACAGTATGTCATATGATACTGTGGTTTCATTTCATTTGTTCCATTTTTGGATTATTTTTAGTGAAAATGGACAGCGTTAGCTGAAAGTATAAAATCATTCCTGAATTTCAGATTCTGAAATTCCATTATGTGGGCTACATCGTAGAGTGTTCTATAGTTTGGATGATCTACTGATTGTGTTTCTGGTGGGATTTTAAATATTAATTTGACTAGAAGGAGTGGAGAGATTGGGCAACGGTAGGTAATAGGAGCAAGAAAAAATAGTGAATAAACAAGTAAGGTACTTCCTTTGTTGATATTTCAGATACATATAACTTTTTTTTTAAATACAGGACACTTGTTGACAGATTCTGAAAAAAGAGAGCTCTTAGTAACAGCAGCGTCTTTGTATGTGGCCAAACAACTTAGAGCACAGAGATTTCTAGGGACCCCAAGGTAAGCTTGTTAGAAAATTACATGTTTTGAACTCCTTAATTAATGGCATCTTTACATATGTATCAGAAGCACTCTTGAGAATTGGCAGACTTCTTAATATAATGTGCATTTGTTCATACTGCTCAGAAGAGGTAGACCTTTTTTTTAATTGCTACAAACTCAGCATCACCAATTCCCGAATCCCTTTGAATGGGTGAATAACCCGTGCTCAAAGTGACTTACCCTATAAAAAAAACACAAGTGAGGGATCCATAGGATGCCACTCATCTAGCTCATGCTTATCCAACAAATATGTTGTTTCAAATAGCAGCCCCTCCCCACTACTATGTGTCATACTGTACCTGAAATTCAGAACTGTGGAAACAGTACATGATTTATTAGGGAAATCTTCTGCTGTGCTGCAAGAAAAAAGCCACAAATTTCACTGGAAACTCACAAGCCCTGGAACATGCATAAAGTAGTTCTTTGGATTCTGACACTCGTGGCAAAATTAAATCTTCAGAATATCATAGAGTGCATTCATAGTGTAAACTTATTTGTTTAATGTACCACTTAGGTGGGAAGAAATTAACAGGCATATTCTTGGATGTAAGCCATCTAGGAAGGAACAGTGGTCTCATAGGAACAGTGGCTTGAGGTCAAGTATGCCGGTGTGTGTCCTTTGAAATTTGGAGATGTAAACCATATTTGACCTTTAAATGTTTCCTGATTGTCAGTGCAGTCCTAAACAGAGCTAGACGCTTCTAAGTCCATTGAAGTCAATGAACTTAAAAGAGTGTAATGCCACACAGAATTGCGCTGTTAGAATTCTACTGTGCTATGCATAATATTTGTTCTTCAGTGTAACTTGAATGGTAATTATTTAGTACTATTTCTCAGGATTTCTGGATTCCAAAATACTTTTATAGGAGAGGAGAAATTATGTTTAGGTTCCTAACCTAATAAACTTTTACTAAATTGCAAATTCCTTTCTTGGTTTGTTTGAGAATCAGTTTTCCCCAGGTATAAAACACTGCTCTTTTAAACTGAAACGTTTCAGAACTTTGTTCGGTGCCGTGTGCTGACGTATCGCGGAGGCTTTGAAAAATGATGGCGTGTGAACCCTTGGAACGTTGAGGCTTAGTTTCAGCAGACCGAAATTTAAGTTTTGATTTATTTTTTCCCTGAGTGAGATTGATATGACCGTACTGTCATATTTGAGTGCAAAAGTATCCAGAGCAGAAGGAATTATACAGGATTTAAAAACTTTCAGTTAACTTGATTACATTATATCCCTCCTTTCCCGCCAAGACCATACACACAGGGATCCCAGGCAGGCTCCCATGCAGGCACTGAGCAGACGCAAACACGCTCAGCTTCTGCAAGGGTTTACTATCATGAGCCTTCAGGCCATACCCCGGGGCCCCTTAATTATGGTTTAACAAAACAGGCTAGAAAGGAAAAGTTTCAAGAATGCTTTTTATCGTTTAAGAAAAAAAAGCATTTGCTGTGACAAACATCACTGTGCACTTGTCAGACATGACTATCAACAAGTATGCAGGACTCTGAAATACCCAACATTTTATGAGGCAGACTCTCTAGGGGATGTTGGAAAATAAAGCACCTCATCACTATTTGGTCCCTATTATGTTCCCCATGGCACAGAGCAAATGGGCAGAGAGCGTGACCTCTCTACATGTAGGAGTGTCAGAGGCAAAAGGGGAGAGAAAACCTTTGTTTTACCCTTTGTTGGGCACCATGAAGAGGTGATTTAAGTCTCTATTTGGGTTACTTTATCTCCCTGAAGTTGTGTCAGAAATCATGAACTGTGCTGTGTCTCTGACCTTCAGCTTTCTCTTTAAGCTGGGCGTTGCAGCTTCAGTTCTGAGCAAAGTACGGCATTGCCCCACAAAGAGGGAGGATCAAGGCAGTAAAAGGTATTTTGTATGCCAATGGTATAAAGTCCTTTATTGTCCAGTCTGGGAGAGCTCTTGGTTCATATCCTTGTCTAGTGACCAAATACAAGCATTTACAGGGTGGTGAATTAGAACCACTGGCTTAATTTTTTATGGAATAGGCTCTCTTACCTTCTGCTGCTAACAGCTGTAGTGGTTCCTAATGAAAGCAGACTAGCAGGACAAAACCCTAGGATTGTCAGGATTGTCATTTTGACTCCTGTGTGCCAAAAGGGGGGGGACATCCCACATATATCTAAGCTGTTTTTGACATCTGAGTAGTGAAACTGTTAAAGAGTTCTAACGACACTGCTCTCTGTTCCCTCCTTTTGTAATTTTATTCTATTTTCAGTCAGCTTTTATAGTTAGAAAATAATTGCCGCTAATCAGCCCAAATCTTTCTGTGTTCTATTTAAGCCTGTTAGCTTTTGGCACGCCTTCAGTGGTCATGATGACTAACTAGTTTTTATGTTACATATAAGCTGTCTTTTATGAAAAGGGCTTCTAATAAATATTTCAAGGTAGGTAGCCATGTTAGTCTGTCTGTAGCAGTAGAAAAGAGTTAGAGTCCAGTAGCACCTTTTGTTGTTGTTCAGTCGCATGGTCGACCCCATGGACCAGCTCCCTCCAGGCCCTCCTGTCTTCCGCCGTCCTCTGAAGTTGGCTCAATTTCATGTTCGTTGCATCGATGACACTGTCTAACCATCTCATCCTTTGCCGTCCCCGTCTTCTTTGACCTTCAATCTTTCCCAGCATCAGGGTCTTCTCCAGGGAGTGCTCCCTTCTCATTTGGTGGCCAAAGTATTTGAGCTTCAGTTTCATTATCTGGCCTTCCAGGGAACAGTCAGGGTTGATTTCTTTTAGGATTGACTGATTTGATCTTCTTGCAGTCCAAGGGACTCTCAAGAGTCTTCTCCAGCACCATAGTTCAAAAGAATCTATTCTTTGGCGCTCGGCATTCCTTATAGTCCAACTTTCGCAGCCATACATGACTACTGGGAATACCATTGCTTTGACCATGCGGACTTTTGTTGGCAGGGTGATGTCTCTACTTTTTATCATGCTGTTTAGGTTCGCCATCGCTTTCCTCCCAAGGAGCAGGTGTCTTTTAATTTCATGGCTGCAGTCACAGTCTGCGGTGATCTGGGATCCCAGGAACATGAAGTCTGTCACTACTTCCACGACTTCCCCTTCTATTTGCCAAGGAGTGATGGGGCCATGATCTTAGTTTTTTTGATGTTGAGCTTCAAGCCCACTTTTGCGCTCTCCTCTTTTACCCTGAGCAAGAGGCTCTTTAGGTCCTCTTCACTTTCTGCCATTAGAGTGGTATCGTCTGCATATCTGAGGTTGTTGATCTTTTCCCCAGCACCTTAAAGACTAACAAAATTTCTTTGGTAGGGTATGAACTTTCATGAGTCATTGCTCACTTCCGCCAGGCTTTTACATAGGGGCCGCCAGTACCACTACCACCACTACTAGTGGTGGAGATAACAACGGGGTTAGGGACGGTCCCAGGAAGATCAGCCACATTCTTGACACTGATACTGCTGGACTGGCTGACCATCGACAGGACGATATTGCCCCCAAGGAAATGAATGATACCATCACGAAATTATTTGGAGGCCATCTTGTTTGCATGGAGCACTTTATTCTTGTTTATGCTGTTATTTAATGGTTTTACTGTTATATCCTGTTTTTATGTATGGGTTTGTGTCCTCTTGTAAGCCGCCCTGAGCCCGCTCGCGGGGAAGGCGGGGTAAATTTTTTAACAATAAATAAATTAATTAAAATACGGGTATTTAAAAAACCTTAGAAATTCATTTAGTCCCAAATATTCAGATTGTGATATAAGAAAATGCAACCACAGCTGTCCTATTTAGACATTATCATATGCAATGGACTTTTTGAGTAGTTCAGTGTAGTTGTCTTCAACCCATGGACCAGAACCCTCACAGAGTATCACTTGTTGGATAGCAAACTTCTATAGAGCTTTCAAGATGTTCTCTTTTTTTGTATGCTGATTTCTGAAAATATTTGCTATTAGTGCCATGCCTCCTCATTTTCTTGGCACACATACTCCAAGGAACAACAACCAACCTCAGTGATGGTGAGACTTGTCACTGAGCAATGGAGCAGATGACCTCAAGGCTTGTTATCTTCAGTAATTACATATCCTGGTGCTCAGCTTGTGTTTTCTGACCCAGACTCTCTTGGCCTGTTGCCCATAGTCCTACCTTGACACTGATGAGGTCAGAACACTGGCTCCCCTTCTTCCTGTCACCTGACTCTGATATTGCATGACTTCCTGTCATAAGCGTATGACTTAGTGGGTCCCATGCTGCCACCTTAGACTTAAAAATGGCTCCCAGTTTTCTACATATCCATTTGTTAGTTGATTGAAGAAATCTTGCTCACATAATTTCTACTTGGTTAAATCTATATAAATTTGCCTGTGAATAAACAAGTCTGAAGGAAAAAACATACCCTTTTTTGTTTTTAAATAATTCTCATATATGTTTTAGAGACACTGTTTTAGAAGAGGCATTCCTTGTGTGAGAGGAGAGAAACCTTCCATCTGCATATTTTATAACTTCTTGTGTTAAAAAATAATTAAAATCCGGTAGTGAAAGGTGCCATTAAGTCACAGCTGACTTAAGGCAACCCTGCAGGATTTTCAAGGCAAGAGATATTCAGGGGTGGTTTGTCACTGCTAGCGTCTCAGTAGCAACCCTGGGATTCCTTGGTGGTTTCCCATCCAAGTATTACCCATGGCCAACCCTGCTTAACTTCCAAGATCTGATTAGCATGGGTCATTCACTGTGTGCTTAATTGGAGTACCTCTTTAAATTGATCAAAGATTAATAACTTGGTGGAATAGTGTATATATTTTGATCTTCAGTGAATTAAGATCTGCCTCTGCGAAACTTTTTTTTAAAGATACATTTGTACTTGTGACTCTGTAGTACAAAATAATACACATCGATGTGTGCATTAAATTATACAGTATTTGGAGAGACCCAAAATACTACTTGTCATCATTTTGGGACGTTCATTGAGGACAAAGTT